CCTGAGCCTCAGTTTTCTCATCTATGAAATGGGAATGATAATACCCCCACCCTCTAATATTGTTATGAGGACCAAATGAATGAAAACACTCTGTACTATATAAATCTGAGCTGTTATCAGCTCTACAGGATTCTAGGATCTAGAATTGGAGGGACCTCAGAGATCACGTCAGCCAATCAATTCATTTCACACATCAGGAAACCGATGCTCAGGGGCAAAGTGGTACAATGGCGAGAATATTACAATAGGAGTCAGAGGGCCTGAGTTCCAGTCTTACCTCTAACATTTACTAGCTCTGTGACCCTGGCCATGTCCCTTAACCTCTCTGTGCCTCAATTTCCTCATCTGCAAAATGGGATATAAGACTTGATGGCCTCTGAGACCCTTTCTAGTCTTCAATCTATGATCTTGTGATCCTGCTTGCTAGTTATATGTTTAACTAGCTAGTAACCTGGTCCTATTCACCAGGAAGGATCATAGTTGGGCAAGTCCCCACCCAACGAGCCCTGCCCCATTGAGAGGAAGTCCTGGAAAAGTGCTGGGTTCTCCATGGTTCTAGGAGAGGGAACAACCTTCCTTCCTCCAGTTCCGCCTTTTTCTGGGTCAATGAGTCAACTTGCTCTCTGGGGGGGTGGGGGTGGATTTGTGGATTTACCCAGTCAGAACCAACTTTGAGCCCCTACCTCTTCCCTAAACCTTCTCTCTCTCTCTCTCTCTCTCTCTCCACACACACACACACACACACACACACACACACACACACATTTTTGCTTTTTGGTGAGGCAATTGGGATTAAGCGACTTGCCTAGGGTCACACAGCTAGTAAGTGTCAAGTGTCTGAGGCTGGATTTGAACTCAGGTCCTCCTGACTCCAAGGCCAGAGTTCTATCCACTGTGCCACCTAGCAGCCCCAATCTTCTATATTTCAATCAGCCCTAGTCAAGTGGCCTGGCTATAGTGGAATCAATTCCCCATAGGAATGGTTAAAACATACTTGGCTATACTATTCTCTCAGCATAGAAGCAATAAAAATAATAAATAATACTTAATAAAACATCTATCACAAATATCTGGCCATTTTTCAGTCCAGGCTCTCACCCAGAACAGGCACTCAGGATACTAGTGTGGGTTTGTCTCTTCTAGTCAAAAAATGTAGGGAGGGACTTTAGGGAAATCCCACAGGGCCTTTCCAGGCAGGGCAAGTCCTGTCCTGTCCTATTTCATACTCAGGGCCAGAAATCACCCACGATACAGCAGCTATTCAAGGCAACCCTTTCTCCAGTGTCCTCAGAGACATGGGCCATAGATAAAATAAAATCACAGGATCTATTATTCAAATAGTTTGAAGACACTAATCATTATCAGTTATTATCAGAATAATAGGTGTTATAATTTTTATAGCTCTTTAAGATTTGCAAAGCACTTTGCAGACTTTATCTCATTTCATCCTCATAATAATCCCAGTGAGGGAGGTACTATTATTATCCCGTTTTGTAGTTGAGGAGTAGAAGGAATAAGAATTTATGTAGTATCTACACTATGTGCCAGGCACTATACTAAGTCCTTTACAAAATATCTCCTCATTTGATCCTCACAACAACCCTGGGAGATAGGTGCTATCATTATTCCCATTTTACAGTTGGGGAAACTGAGGCAGACAGTAGTTAAGTGACTTGTCCAAGGTCACACAGCTAGTAAGTGTGTGAGGGCAGATTTGAACTCAGGTATTCCTGACTCCCAGACCAATGCTCTCTAATAGGCTATAATTCTAGGTGTCACTTGCAAGTCTAGAATTGTTGCTTCCCCAATCCTTGCTCAGTGTCAGATTCATTCACTTGGCTGGCCCTACCTAGAAAGGTTCTGTAGGCTACTTACCTTAGGGTCTTTCCTACATTTTGGGGTACAAAATGCCAAGCTGTCATCCCCAGGGCCTATTCCAGGTAAGAACCTTACTTTAAAGGGACCAGAAATCTTGAAATTACCAAAAGAATGAGGAAAATACAGGATTCAGCCCTTAAGACTCCCAAATCAGTCCTCTAGGGCTGGAAATTCTCTGGGTGACAATAAAGGTACCTTCAGAAAGGGTTAACAGAGGGTGGGGAAGCATTAGGGTCAGACTTTCTTGGCCTAGTTCTGTAAAGCCTTATCTACAGGTAACTTGCAGGTGTCAGGTTTGTTTATGGTTTATATGATTAAAGAAAAAAGGAAGTAGAGGAATGTGAAGGAGGGGGATGGAGAGGGGAGAGGCTGAGGTTACCGGTGAGGAAGAGGCCTAAGTCATTCACAGCTCATAGATTAAGTATTGGTCCTGGCACCCACCTGCAAGTGGAATGAGGAAGCCCCCTTCCAACTCTGGGTAGGGCAGGGCAGAGCCCAGAGGCCAGGTCTCCCCTACTTGCAGGCAGTGTTTTTCCCATTGTATAAAGGAGGAAATTGAAAGTGGGACTTGAGTTTGCAAGAAATAAGGGTCAGAGGCAGAGGCATAATAAAACCCAGAAACCTGATGAAGTCTCAGGATACTTTCTCAAACTGATAACCTGTCAAAGAAGAATTTATTTTCCCTATTTCATAGAAAGAATAACTGATACAAAATGCGGAAGCCCAGCTTTCTCTGGATATCTCACCCTGCCCCATCTAGATGTCACAATACACAAGAGCCTAGTCAGGAAGGCCTGAGCTCAAATCCTGCCTTAGACACTTACTAGCTAACTGATGCTGGGCAGGTCACTTTTCTTCATCTATTAAATAGTGCCTACCTCCCAAAGTTGTGAGGGTCCAACACGATAATATTTATAGAGTACTTTGCATGGTGTCTGGCATGTGGTGGGGACTTCATAAATGCACATTCCCTTCCCTTTTCCCTTCCCCATGAGAGCAGTGGAGCTAGAATCTATATCATGTCAAGAGACCTAGAGGAATATCCCAAGCTTGCCGAGGAGACCTTTGTGGGAGGACATGGGCAAGAGGTCCACAGGATGAGGAAGTGTGGATAGGCTGGCTATTCACCATTGGAAGGGAAGAGAGAAGAATGCAGAAAAATCCAGGATAGAGCTTCATATAAGCAAAGTATGAATAAAATAAGTCTGCCTAGCCTAGATTGTGCGGGTGCCCACACTTGCTAAACTGACATTTCCTGAGCCGCTGATAGATCAGCCCAATGATTCCTGAGACCTGTAGACCAGAGACAAAGAGATGGGAAAGCTGAGCGTATTATCTAGGGGGTTGAGGATAGTATGAAGGGGACAGAAAATACCTGGTTTGATTAGAACTTTGAGTACCTGACGAGAAATATGATTGTAAATATAGAACAGCAAAGGAACTCAGAAGCTGTGCAGTTATTTTTTTTTCAGATGAGGGAACTGAGGCCAAGGGAAATTGACCTTGTTCAAGGTCATATGGGGAGCAAGTGTCGGATTTGAACCCAGATCTTCTGAAATTGGAGTTAGTGCTTTCTTCACTAATATTATTATTATTATTATTATCATCATCATCATCATCATCTCTCTAATAGTCTAAGGATGGGATAAGAAAGTGACATCAGACTGTGAAGAGCCTTGAATGCTAATTAAAGGAGTTTGAATTTAAATTGATGACTACCAAGGAGTCTATGAAGATGTTTGATTAGAAGGCTAACATGGGCAGATTTAATCATAAGGAAAATTATTCTGGGAGTGAGGCAGCTTGGTGGCACAGTGGATAGAACACAGGTACAGGAGTCAGGAAGACCTAAGTTCAAAATAGGATTCACACACTTCCAAGTTGGGACCTTGGGAAAATCACTTAACCACTGCCTGTGGTTAAGTGAGGCTAATAATAGCACCTACCCCCTGGGGTTGTTGTTAGGATCAAATGAGATAATGTTTATAAAGTGCTTAGTATAGTGCCTGGCACACAGTAAGCACTATATAAATGCTAGCTCTTATTATGATATTCATAATCATTATTTTATTATTTACAAAATAGAACTACAATAATAAATAAGAGCTAGCATTTATATAGAGCTTTAAGGCTTGAAAAATGCTTTACACATGTTTACATATCTTACCCAATTTCAATTCAATATAAAACCTTGTGATAGATAAAATCATTCTCATTTTACAGATGAGGAAAGTGAGGCTGAGAGCATGGATTGGAGGAAGGGGAAAAGACATGAGGAAGCTATAATAGTTTAGGCAAATGGCAATGAGGAATTGCCAATCCTTTGGGGACCTGGGTTTTATTTAGTCTCTGCTTCTGCTCCTTATTTCTTGTGAGGGCAAGTGCTGTTTTCAGTTTTCTCCTCTACACAATGGGGAAAACACCAATTTACAAGAGGGGGATACCTGACCTCTCATCTCTGCCCTGCCTTATCCAGAGTTGAATGGGAGTTTCCTCATTCCTAGAGGAATCTCTAGAACTAGAAAGAGAGAGGAGGGATGAATATGAGAGACATTTCAGAAATACATTTCATGGCAGTTGGTAATCAATAGGGGAAAGGGAGGAGTCAAAAATAATCCCAACGTTCTGAGCATAGGAGGCTGGGTAAATAGTGATATCACCGACAGAATTGTGAAAGCAGAAGGAGGAGGTTTTGGGGAAAGATAAATTCAGTTTGTGACAGGGAGAATTTTTATCTGAAACTAGTTTAACCTCCCTCCTCCCCCACATAAAGGATGCCCATTTTCCTCCTAGGGTCCAGCAGAATCTGTAGAAGGACTCTCCCCCCAATCTATTTTCACTGCTCAAAATGATTGTCAAAAATAACATTTCTGGAATTTTCAGTCTTATTCACCTTTTCAAGACTTTCAGGACATGGAAATAGAAGGGATGAGAATCATTTTCCCCATTTTATAAAACAGGAGAAATTACAATCACAGAGGATACAGCATGGGGGAAAGGAGAGGCAGGGTTAGGAATGGGTCACTGCCCAGCCTTCTGTCCCCTAACTTGCCAACTCCCACTGGGTGATCTGAAATCAACTGGACCCAGCCTGTGGCAGGAAGCATTTGGGCATACACAGCCTGGGGGAGTTACGCCAGGGCTGCCCCACCTCCCGGGGATTAAGGAAACAGGAAAGAGGTGGTGGGAAGGAGCAGGGCACCTTAGGCAGAGACACGATGGTCTCCCTCCTCCAGAACCAGGCTTGCTTCTCTTCTTCTTACATTGCGCGATGGGGGGCACCACCAGGACTGGCATGGGTAAGGGCAAGAATGGTTTTTTCCCTGATACCGCGTGTGTGCTCCTGCATTTATAAGTGTGGGCATGGGCGTGCAATTATACATGTACCTGTGTCTGTGCATGTATATAAGACTTTAAAAGTTGAGTAGGGGCATACAAGCTGGAGTGGGTGACATGAATGGAATCTGCATCACCGCACAAAAGTATTTTACCCTTTGGGATTGTCCATTTACTGTAACAGAGATTGATGATAGATAAATAGACAAATAGATAGATAGACTAATGTGACATAGGAAGGAGGGGGTGGAGAGAGACAGAGACAAAGAGAGACAGAGACAGAGAAATAGAGAGACAGAGACAGAAAAAGAGACAGAGAGAAACAGAGAAGGAGGGAGAAAGGGAAGAAAGAGGGGAAAGAGACAGAGGAAGGAGAAAGGAGGAAAAGAGAAAGAGAAAGGTAGGTAGTGAGAGACACAGACAGCATTTATTAGGCGTCTACTGTGCTCCAGACACGGCTCTAAACACAAGAGCCCATATCCATGTGTGCTTATAGATGGACACATGAAAAATTTATACAAGAAAGGGTTCAGTATTCCTGAAGCTGGAGAAGACAACTAAACCACTTTCTATCTCCTCCAGAGCTATTCCTGGGCACTGGCTTCTTTTGACTTGGTTTGTGAAAAGCCCAAATATTACCTAGAGGAGGTGGGTTATGTTGTAGGGGAGGAATTTGCAGGGTAAAGAAGAAGGAGAGAGAGAGAGAGACTTTGCCTTCCCAAATCCTGTATGGATTGAGAATAACCAGTCTGGGTTAAGATTGGAGAAATTCCAAGTACATGAGCTGTGAAGATGCTATTTGATTGAGAAGGAAGGGAATTTGAATATCTGGCAAAGGAACTTGGACCTTATTTGATAGATAATGGGGAGCCATTGGAAATATTTTAATAGAGGAGTGATTATGGCCAGATCTGTGCTAAGGAAGATTATTCTGGGAGCTGTAAGAAGGATAGATTAGATGAAAGGGAAAAGAGTAGAACTGGAAAGACTTGTGAGGTGATGATAATAGTTTAGGTGGCAATGGAAATAGAGATAAGAATGAATATTTGACTGATCAGACAATAGTATTTGGAGAATGAGATGGTGCTACCCAGATGAGCTGGAAACATTGGTAGGGGGCATTGGGAAGAAAGTTGGGGCTTTAAGGGAATGGTGAGGTTCAGAAAGCACGAGGAAGAGCTCTAGGGCTTGGGGAGCTCAGAGGCTTTGGGGTCTCAAGGGAACTGTGTGTTTGGAAGGCTAGTCCAGAAAATGTCTATGGACTGAACACAAGAAAACTCCTGAGTCAGGAGTGAAGTCAGGGGCGAGGGATAGAGAGAGGGTTTCAATATGGAATTAAGGAGGGTAGACTTAGGACCCTGACAGGGCAGCTAGGTGGCACAGTAGGTTTCTGGGCCTAGAGTGGGGAAAACTCACCTTCCTGAGTTCAAATCCGGCCTCAGACATTTGTTATCTGTGTGACCTTGGACAAGTCACTTAATCATATTTGCCTCAATTTCCTCATCTGTCAAATGAGCTGAAGAAGGAAATGGCAAACCACTCTAGTATCTTTGCCAAGAAAACCCCAAATGGGGTCATGGAGATAACTAATTATGCTTGATAACTAGGTGCTGAGAAAATGAATGGAAATTTTGAGTTCCTGGTTACACAAATAACTGAGGATAGGGGTGGGGATGGTTAACCCTGACAGCCAAGATACAGATATTTGGGGGGAGGAGAGTGGAAGAGGGCTTGCAGGCAACTCTGTCAAAACTCTTCAAGTATCATGTTAGAGCAGGAAGAGACTGCTAATCATTTTTTTTTGAAAAGGAGGAAATTAAGACATTAGAGAAGAGAAATGACTTATCCAAGATCCCAGACAAGAGCCCATTCAATTTTTATTGAAACTGACACTGAGCTAAGGTGGAGTCAAATGGAGCCCCAGCTCATAGACTCATTCCATAAGCATTTAGATATGGCTTTAAAAAATGACTGAATAACAACTAGGGCCCTGACAGGAAGAACTTTATTTTCTCAGTACTCAAGGGGGTGTGTAAATGGGCCTAGGAGTCACATAAAGACATAACTATGGGTGAGGAGGAGAATTTTTAACTGAAGCCTGGATGTTCCCAAATTCAATTTAATTTAGTTCAATTCAATAAAATATTGATTAAACACTTATGTGTAAGAAGCGAAAAAGTGGGGAACAGAAAAAAATAAAGATTAACTTTGATGATCATAGTTTATTATTCAATTGTTTCAGGTGTGTCCAATTCTTTGTGACCCCATTTGGAGTTTTCTTGGCAGAGATAGTGGAGTGGTTTGCCATTTCCTTCTCCAGCTAATTTTACTGATGAGGAAACTGAAATAAACAGGGTTAAGTGACTTGCCCAGGGTCACATAGCTAACACATGTCTGAGGCCAGATTTGAATTCATGTCTTCGTGGCTGGCGTTCTATCCACTGAGCCACCTAGCTGCTCCAATCATCGTTTATTATAGAAGCTTAATTGATATAAAAAGAGGCACCATGGAGTTGTCGATAGTGAGCTGACCTTGGAGTCGGAAAGACCTGGGGTCTGAGTTCTACTTCTGTCACATGCTGTCTCTGTGACCCTGGGCAACTATAAGAGTAGAAATTGCACATCAGTTGCTTCTCTGTATTGGCAGAGGGAGTTTCCTTATCAAGAGTTTTCTTCACCAGCCAAAAACACAGATCCAGTCCAAAAAATGTGGTTGTACCTTGCAATGCCTCAACATGGGGTAATGTCCCCAAATGCCCTAATATGATTATGCTCCTGGATGAGAAAAAAGTAGCTTCAGAATGGAGATGGGAATGAAGGAGATTTCCTCCTCTTTGCCTATTGGCAATTCAGGTGCTCCTTCCACTAGGAAGAAACCTTCCCTGGTCCTCTTGGTTGAAAATATTCTTCCCCATATGTTTCTATCTATGTGGGGGCAAAGGAAGAGATGCTACATTGTGGGATGGTAAAGACTTTGGAACACAACAAGGCTGGTGATTGGGAAGTTATCCTTCTCCTTCCCTTTAGAGGTAGGGGGGTCGTTTCATAGCTCCCTGTTTTAACTAGTTATGCTTGATAACTAGGTGCTATGAAAGGCAATTTCTTCACATTTCCATCTGAGAAAATGAATGGAAATTTGAGTTCCTGGTTACACTAATACCTGAGGGTAGGGGTGGCGGTGGGTAACCCTGACAGCCAAGATACAAATGTTTTGGGGGAGGAGAGTGGAAGAGGGCTTGCAGTCAACTCTGTCAAAACTCTTCAAATATTGTGTTAGAGCAGGAAGACACTGCTAATAATTGTTTTTTGAAGAGGAAGAAATTAAGACATTAAGAAATTAAGGAGGGAATTCTAGAGAAGAGAAATGACTTATCCAAGATCCCAGAGAAAAGCCCATTCAATTTTTATTGAAACTGACACTGAGCTAAGGTGGAGTCAAATGAAGCCCCAACTCATAGAGTCATTCAATAAGCATTTATTAATTATGAATGATTTGTTACACTGTGCTAGTGGCCGGAGATATAAAAACAATAAGGAGATATTCCTAGCCTGAGAAGCTCCTATTCTCACAAATTCAGAGAAAGGACCTGAGGGCCACTTTGTCCAACTTCTTCATTCTAGAGATGCCCAGGGTTAGTGTCAGGATTGGCACCAGAACCCAGGCTGGGCCTCAGGTTGGGAAGGTCTGAGTTCAAATCCTAACTTAAATACTTATTAGCTGGGTGATCTTGAGAAATCACTTAACCACTATCTGCCTCAGGTTCCTCAACTGTAAAATGGGGCCAATAATAGTTCCCACCTCCCAGGGTTGTTGTTATCTAATGAGATGATATTTATAAAATGCTTAGCACCATGCCTGGTACATAGTAGGCACTTAATAAATGCCTGTCCCCTTTCTATCCCCATTTCTGACTCAGTCCAGTGCTCTTTTAGACAGATTGTTGAAACTGAATAGCTTGGCCCTCCTCTCCCCACCAACCTTTTTTCCTTTGGAGAATGTAAGTAGGGTCAGCAGACTTTTAAATTCTCTGTCCTGGGGTAAGTTGTCCCCCAGCACTGGTTGAGGCTGTGATCTTTGTAAACTCTAGGACAGTAGCCTGCAGGGCTCATAGAACCATTAGGACTACCCCAAAATCTATATCTGACAGTGTTTGTTGAGTGATTGAATGAATGAATAAAGCAGAAAGAGGAACTGGAAATGCCAGTAAAGGCCTGATATATGTGTGAAGCTGGCCTCACTGAGACGAGCAATGTAGGACTTCTCTGTGACTTCTCCAACCTGCATTTAGTTCAGGGGTGCGGAACCTGCGGCCTCGAGGCCACATGTGACCTTCTAGGTCCTTGGGTGCAGCCTTTTGATTCAGTCCAGGTTTTACTGAACAAATCCTTTTATTTAGAGTCATTTTTTACAAGTATTTGCAGGGGTTTTGGGGAGAACTCAAGCAAGTCACTGCTTTTACTCCACCATCTTGGCTCTGCTCCGTCCCTGACAAATTCTTTTATTTAGGGGATTTGTTGGTGAAGTTTGGATTCAGTCAAAGGGCCTCACTTGAGGACTTAGAGGGTCACATGTGGCCTTGAGGCCACAGGTTTTCTCCCCGCCCCCTCCCCCATTAGATCCTGAGATTCTCTTCTAGTGAAGTAGAATAATGTTTTGAGAGAATCCTATGGCATAAGAGAGTCTCTCCTGCGAGAATGTAGGGTCCCCCTATTGACCCTTGCTTTCTCCAGCTGGGCCCATAGTTTCCTCCATAGTGTTGATACAGCTGTCTACAGGTTAAGTCCTTGTCCAGGTACCCAGTCTAAGGAGAGGCCCGTGGGCCAGCCACAGACCCCAGGGGCGTCCAACCCCTTAACAGAGCTCAGGTGCTTAGGAGAACAGTGTGAAACAGTGGGAGTCAGTTCAGTGCAAAGCTTTATTGCCAGCAATGGGAAAGAAAGGGAAAGGGAGAAAAGAAATGGG